CAATTCGGTGGTCGAGTGGTTTTTGCTTAGCGTCTTAGATCGAGTAGTTGAACTAAATTTTAGGGTTACTAGTATATAAATATGTGATTAGATACTGGATGCTTTTTATTATTAAAATTTGTATTTCCATCCATGGTGCTGGGAATGTGGCATTGAGTAAATCAAGGGGATAAGAATGAGGCTTCTCTCGTTAGATATGTTATGTTCTTTGCTTAATCCTAAAGCAGCTTATGTAATTTATATATCAATAGTGTGCATATGTATATGACTTGTATGCACGGAAGTTGGTGAATTCCTTCAAGAAATTTATCTTTGCCATGATTATCTGCCAGGTTGCTGAGCCACAAGTCAGTAGATTATGCACGGAAGCCCAAGAATGCATGGTGATGGCCAGGTGGTTCGATTTGGTGTCACTTATGCTAACTTCAGCTGATGTCATATTATCAAAGGTCTCCGAGAAAGGTAAAATCCTTATTGTGAATCTTTATGTACTCTTTTTTAGAAGTTAGATGGATAAAGAGGCTTAGAATTGCATGAGTCTGTATTGTCACACATTTACCATATACTAGTTGATGCGAAGAACATGTTGCTGATGGTGCAGAGTTTTTTCCTACAATCCTTATTGTCCGACTATTATATCAATGTTTACTGCAAGTTCTTTAGCAAATTACTTCAAAATAGTGCAAATGTTTTTGGTCAGTGAGTGGGATGCATATTATTGTAGGCATTGCTAATGTTCATTAAAATGTTTCATAATCATTGTCGGACAATACGGACATTAGTAATCACTTCATTCAACGCACAATGATAATTAATTGCTAGCTTAACGGTATCACATTGTTTGTTTTCTTAATATCTATGTTCATCAAACTTTTGTTCACATACACAATAATTCCTGTTGTTTTCCTCTTCAGATCTTGAGTGCATATTCACTGTTATCTGCAATGTTGTTACAAAGTCTGAAAGTCCAGATGAAGCTCTCGAGATGGCAAAACTTATATCCGCAAAGATTACTCAGCAACCAAGTGACAAGCCCGCGTTGCGCTTAAAGATGTAAGATACCATCGTGATTGTGACTCCATCTTGCATGCTTTTGAATGTACTTCCGACACTTATACTTTTCTTTATAGCTTGTTCAATCTGTACAACCTACTGGAGAATCCATATAGCCGGTTCTTTGTCTACTTGAGTGCTCTAAATTTGGCAATCAATGGAAAGGTCACTGAACATGTCATCCCTTCATTCAAAAAGATAGAAAGTTTCTTGAAAGAGTGGAATATTGGGGTCTCGGACCAGAGACAACTTTTTCTTACCATATCAAATGTTTTAAGAGAACACAAAAGGTATGCTATGTAGAAATTGTAAACTTTTTTATGTGTACATGCCCCTACTCAATTGGTTTTAGGAATAATTGATTATTTTTGTGTGTTGTATTTTCAGCTTGGCAAAGGAGTCTTTCAAATTCCTGAGCAAGTACTTAGCTACTTTTTCTGGTGAAGATGCATATATATTGAATGAAGCCAAGGAGGAAGCTGTGCGCACAATTGTGGAATTTGTGAAGGCCCCGGACTTGTTTCAGGTATTGTAGGGTCTTGTGGAATTTCAAAGATTATGTGTGCTAATTTAGTGGTCTACATTTCTCCTCGATGCACGCTCATCCTTGTTTACTTGTGTTACGTACTTTACAAATATATGTTTCTTTCCTTTAAAAAAATCTCTTCTTATGTGGTAGATCCAGTTAATTGTGCAGAGACAATTTAGTAGTTTGAATTGCTCGTATAAAGTAATTATTGATATTAAGGTTTTTCTTGCATTTTGAAGAAGCTCCTCCTAACATTCATTTGGATCCAATATGTTTCCTCTGAAGTTACATATGAAATTTGTTATGCTTTTGGACTGTAGTCTGTATTGACCAGTTGGAGTGCTGATCATAACTCCCAAACAACTGGGTTTTTGGCATTTGGCTCTGATGACCAAATTCCCCTTACAATAATTGTTTAGATGCTGATATGTTGGTGTTATTGCTCTGCAGTGTGATTTGCTAGATATGCCTGCTGTAGGGCAATTGGAGAAGGATGCTAAGCATGCGTTGGCATATCAGCTTTTAAAGATCTTTCTGACTCAGAGGCTGGATGCTTACGTGGAGTTTCAGGCTGCAAATTCTACTTTACTGAAAGGCTATGGTAAAATATTAGTTTCTTCTGACTGAGTCTTCTTCAGCATTATAATAGTTTTTTTATTGCCATCTAAATTATGCTTTATGAAATGTTATAGGACTTGTCCATGAAGACTGCATGACAAAGATGAGGTTGATTTCTTTGGTGGATCTTGGCTCTGATGAATCTGGACGGATTCCTTACAGTCTTATCAGAGATACGCTTCAGGTTAGATTGGTTAACCTTTCTGGTTCTAAAGGTTTTCCATTCACGTCTTGGTTAATTATATGCTTATGCACGTGTTTTTGGCAGATTAATGATGAGGTAGTCGAACTTTGGGTGGTCAAAGCGATAACTGCTAAGTTAATGGACTGTAAAATGGACCAGATGAATCAAGTGGTGATTGTGAGGTAAGTTTGTGTTTCATACCTTGTGTGCACACACAAACAAACATATATTTATTTATTCATTCTTTTATGCTTCTTTGTTCTTGAACTGATTTAGCCTTTGATCTGCAGCCGCTGTACTGAGAGAGTATTTGGGCAGCAACAATGGCTTACACTTAGATCAAAGTTAGCAACTTGGAGAGTAAGTAACTGCCTACATCTAGTGTTTCATGCTTTATTTTTCGTTCTTGTTTAATAATTGCCAAAGAAACGAGAATTAATTCATTGTACTGTACAAAGACCCGCTCTTTTTGTTGCGCTGTCCATAAATCTGATTATTGAATTTGTATATTGACAAAGTTCTCATTGGCAGGGTAATGTTGCAAATGTTATCAGCACAATTCGAGCTAACAGGATAGCTGAAGATGGCTCGCAGGCAGTGCAAGGCTTAGTTATTCGTTAGAAAATTCTTGGTTATGTAGGTTCTTGACTGACTTATGAAAGCTTGAAGTAGCATTTATGATTCCCAATTATTTTCCCTTTGGACTTTGGATCCAAATGTTTTGGAAATTTTGACAGGAAAAAAGTCTCTTGTTATTTACAAATCTTATGATTATACGCTTGGTAAATGATGAATGACTGCTTATATAACATCAGCAACTTCTTGACAGGAAAACTCTCTTGTTCTGAAATTCGAATATGTCGGTGATGAATAATATTATTCTGAGAGCAATTGCAGCCTAACCGGTGATGTTTCTCGACCCCGATAGGATTCATTTTGCAATTGTTAGGAGTGGACGGGAAAACTCCTCTTTAGTTTCTTTCCACAAGATTTGGATCTGGATCTATGACCTTACTATCCATCCGAATCCATCGTTAGCATCACTGGGATATTATCCCATTGAATAACTATTAGATCTAGATGCAATAAATACGATGTTATTGTGTCAAATAATTAAACGAATCATGATTGGGAGAGGAGGTCTAGTGCCAAATGTTTGAATGAAGTGGGAAAGCTGCATTGTGTAAATGCAAAGAAATTGCCTGGATGCTATACACAAGTTTATTGCTTTCTGTCCACCCAGTTAACTTTTTGTCTGATTACGTGGTTTAGTTCCCATTACTTTCTGATGACTAAGTCAAAGACTTTCATTGCATGTTAAATATTCGGAAATAATCTAAATGAAAGATTTTCCACAAATAGAAGATAGTAGACTTTGACTATCACTAGCTATTTTCTTTTGTAGGGTAGACTGTAGACTAAGTGTCAACACTGTTTTGTGGGGTCTCTTTGTGGTTCTTGTACCTTGCATCGACTGGGCTGTGGGATCAGGGGAAGTTTGTTGTTTTGTGTTAATTTAGTCAGCATTTACTTGGTAATTTGCTCATTGTTTTCTGATGTTTGAATCAAAGACTTGCATGTCAAATTTGAGCATTTTGTCTAAGCACCCACTTTGCTTAATTCCTTTTAGGGTAGACGCAGTGGACTTGAGGAGTTGGTTAATCCTTAGTTCTATTACTTACTGGTAGAAATGAACCGTAAAAATATATACCATAGTTGATCATGATTGAAAGACTTTTTCTTCAAAATGTGTAAGTTCTTGTTCTAACTACCATTCTTTTGTTTTTTTTTTTTGGGGTCAAATTCTAACTACCATTCTTAGGCGTAGTTATGAATTTGTAAGGGAGTCGGTCGTACGCGTGTTTGGATTCTTACGGGGGTCTCGATTATGGAAAAGCTTTTTGTGTCAAGTGACTCTCAGCTCTCTCTAACCATGAAGACCACAAATCATCCACATACACATGACCAACATACCCTGGAGAGTAGTTGACGGGGGTGGTAGACTGACTATACAGAATTTGTGTAGAGATTAACTAGAGATGTGAAAGGAAAATAAACTAGGACCACAAACACTACAATCGATTGAAATAAAATTCATGGGGCAAAGGAATATCTTGGTGAGATATTATTGTGGAACTTGGTTGTGTGTGGGAATTCAGTTACTTCACAGCGGAATGGCTGTCTCGTTTGATATTTTCCATGATTTCAGCGAAATGGCACAAAAGACTTTTAGTTTTAGACTCGTCCAAAAAAGCTGCGACCCCCCTCGCATTTGTATGCTCGCTTGCTTCTTCATGTCTGAATGTTTCATGATTTCACGTGCAGGATGCAGCTAGGGAAAAATGTTAAAAGAAAGACAAAATCTAAACAGCATGACCCCTCTCACAAGGGGTGGACATTTGAACTGAAAAATCCTAGTACTAGAGCAATTACCAGGTGATCTTTCTTCACCCTATTGCAAATGTTTAGAGTGGATACAACTCACTCCTAATTAGTTCTTTCCACGAGATTTTGAATGTGATATTCAACTATCAATGACCAGTTCCTATTTGCATTGTTCTTGTGTAACGGTGCAATTTAAGAACTCCCCCTTATCCTTTGATGCACAACTTACTCTCCAACATAGGACAATTGTATTTGATTCACAATTCCTAACAAAGTTGCAATTTATTAAAATTTTACAATACTAAATCATCTAGAATGATCTTGGGACAAACAACTACAATAAACATAACCTGAGTAAACGACTCATTGCCCCTAATTTTTAATTCAATTAATTTGGTTCAAATACAGCTGATATGAAACATTGATGTAATATATTTACTATCCCACTGAAATCATAGTCCAGGCCCCTCGATCGTAAGTGCCTATGCTTCTAGCCACATTGCTCATCATCTTCCATTCGGATCGTTAATCTCAGAAAAGATTGTTCCGGATATACGTTGAATAGATTGATCGGTTGCACAAGTCAGCTCACTGCTGCTAGCTTTGGCAGTAGTGTCACTGTGAAAGACAACCTCATTGTCACCCTTACTTCCAATGCTCTTTTGATGAAGCTGCAAGGCAAGCTCAAGCTCCCTCAAAACATCATTCATCGAAGGCCGGTCAACCCCATTATCCTGGATGCAGCTCACAGCAATCTCACCAAACTTATTCAGGCACTCGGCTCCAATCATACCCCTCAAACTTGGGTCGATGATTTGATCAAGTTCCCCGTCGCGATGACATCTCCTGGTCCACTCAGCAAGGCTCATTCGAGTCCCCTCCGCCGTATGAATCAAAGCTGGCTTCCCACACAATACCTCGCACAACACGACACCAAATGAGTACACATCAGACTTCTCAGTCAGCCGCTGACATCGATAGTATTCCGGATCCAAATACCCGAAACTACCTTTCACCGCCGTGCTGATGTGGGTTTTGGACCCGGTTGTTGTGCCCATTTTGGACAACCCAAAATCCGAAACCTTTGCCACCCATTTATCATCCAATAAAATATTTGTGCTCTTCACATCGCGGTGAATAACAGAGCCCTTGGCACCGCTGTGAAGGTAGCACAACCCTTGGGCTGCGCCAATACAAATTTGAAGCCGTTGTTCCCATGAAAGAGGTGGGTTATCGGAGCGGTAGAGATGGCCACCGAGAGTCCCACGTGCCATGTAATCGTAGACCAAGATCATCTCGCCTTTGTCGGTGCAGAACCCAATGAGTGAAACCAAATGGCGATGACGGAGTTGAGAGAGCAGCTCGATTTCCGTCTTAAACTCATGAGCCCCCTGTGATGACTCGGGTTTCAGTCGTTTGATTGCAACAGGGGTGGCGCCACCATCAATGCAGCCTTTGTACACGTTCCCAAATCCTCCTACTCCAATAATGAAAGTTTTATTGAAGTTTTGGGTGGCAGCTTTGATCTCAGTAAGTGAAAAGGAACGACACAAATCAGACGGTAAAGATGACTCGTAGGTCTTTGTTGACTTAGTCGTCCCTTGGGTGGAGCCAGAGGACTTGACTTTCCATCTTCGTCTGTAGACAAAGAATGCGAAGACAGAAAGCACAAGTACGCCGGAAACTACCCCGGCGACGATGGCAAGCATACGCGTCCTTGCCTTGTTTTTGGGTATTTTTGAGCTTGACGTCGTACCCTTTGGTGGGTCGGGATCGGCGAGATTACCATTTGGGAAAATCAGTTTGAAGATTTCGAGACCATTCAGAAATGCATCGTATTCGTTGAACGAATACACTTGTAGTAGTGCGATAGAGAGATTAACTTTGGGCTCGGGTACGGGGCCAGACACAAACACTGTGTAGTCCGAATAGTTTGGAATCCCATAGGTCAATTCAATCTTATTTCCGAAGTTCCATACTGTTGGAAATCCGCTGGTTGGATTGGATATGTAAAACAGAAACGACGGATCTATTATCGTGGTAAGAAAACATGGAATCTACAGGGAATTCCCAGGTGAGATTGTAGTTCTGGTTCATGGTAGCGTTTATGCGCATAGACCGGGCGGTTTGGTAAACTTGCTTTGGCGCTGTGTACGCTGGTATTTCAGAAAAGTTGAGTTGAATACTCAAGTTTTGTGTTAGAACGCTCCTTGTTAAACTTACATTGTCCAAGTAATTCCGCTCCTCTTGAAAACCATCCCAATTGCGGTACATGCCAGTGTCTTGATTGGAAGAGATTGAGTTTCCACCGACGTTTATTCTGTAGACCATCTCTAGAGCAGTGCTGTTTTCGAGGGAAAAGTAACTTCCGGTGCCTATAGTTTCACCTTTGGGTAAACCGTAGTAAAGATCGGTGGGCATGGACACAATTTCAATTCCGTTGATAAACGCATACGCATCTGGGATTGTTATGCTCGGAGTGAATGTGATGTTCAAGCTCTCTTCTTTATACATGTTCAAACAGAACTCTTTGTATATTCTGTCCAACCCAGACGCATCGGCAGTGACTGAAGCATTGAAGTCTTGGAGAAGGTTAAAGCCCCTGGCTTTGACTGAGAAGATGGCTTTGGATCGGTCAAAGTCAGGGCCATAAGAAACTGGGTTGAAATACAAGCGGATGAACTTTGGGCCGCTAGTGAGTTCAAAACTGTAAGTAAATTCAGAGCGAGAAAGTCGCACTGTGGTGTAAGGCACTTGTTGGACGGTGTTCGAATGAGGTGCTTGTTTGAATATGGATGTGTTACCAACTGCTTGGCGTTCAAAGGGGGAAAATTTTGAGTTGATATCTCCAATCCAATTTCGGCGATCATGTTCGTTGAACGAAGTGCCGGAATAGCCACATTTGACGGTGATATCTTCCACCGGAGTGTAGATAGGTGGCGAATCTCCAGCAGCCACGAGTAGGATGACGATGGTGGACAGAAACAAGGAAAGGTAATTGCTGATTGAGAAGTTGTTCATGATACTAATTATATATAGCAAGAGAAAGAGAAGGTTGAGGTGTAAGTGTTGATGGAGATAAAATGGGTTCTTGCCCGGTTTTCTGTGCTCTGCACTTAGTACGCGTTTCTCTTTGATGTAACTTTTGATGTCTGATGATTAATCTAAAGACTTGCTTATTAAATTTTCGGTAGTAAACTATTGAAAGAGTTTCCGTCCAAATGTCGATCAGTCAATATGATAGACTTTGACAATTAATTACTATTAGTTTCCTTATGCATACAGTGGACTTTGAGGATTGATTTGGTCCCCAACATGTACAGAAGGATATTCTACCGAAATTTCGAGAGAAACTTCGCGCTTGGAAAATTTCTTTTATTTTTCTAATTCCGGTTTGGCCTATATGTAGGTATATAAATTTTTACACAAATCTCCTCCTTCTAACCTTAATCAGCCCCAAAATCAGAGAGAGGAAGAAGAAGTGAAAAAAAAAAAAGGAGAGAGAGGAAGAAGGGGAAGAGAGAGAGAGAGAGAGAGAAAGTTGCAGAGGTAGAGATGAGAGCGTGTGTGAGAAAGAGGAAGTGTGTGTGCGCGTTAATATTACTATATTGCCCTCCTGCTTTGTCCCACGTGATGTTGATGTGTGAATTTTGATCGAACTTTAAATGAAATCATTTGACATCTAACGATAGGGTGAAATTAGAGATTTCATGTAGTTCGAGTGCTAAATTATTGGGTGTGTTTTAATCCTAGGTGGCTCAATATTTTAAATTTGAGCTTGATCTAGTACTTGAAAAGTCAATAAGCTATTAATACTTTCAAGGGCTAAGCTCTGAGTGACCCTTTAATTAATCACAAACCATTACATCAAAAAATTAATCTAGTTGGGCATGGAATGCATAATTACAAATTAAGGATGAATGAAATGCAATACGATTTAAAGAGCCATTGCAATATTAATTTTACATGCAATTATGGGCTCATGCCTCACGCGTACAAATTGTCAAAAATATAGTTGCTCATCATCACCTCCCACTGGGATCCCTGATCTCAGAGAAGATGGTGGCGGATATGCATTTAATGGATTCATCGGTCGCACAACTTTGCTCACTACTACTAGCGTTGCTTTCAACGCAGTTGCGATGAAGCTGCAATGCAAACTCAAGCCCCCTCACAACAACATTCATCGATGGTCGTTCGATGCCATTATCATGCGTGCAACTCATTGAGATCTCAACAAACTTATTCAAGCCCTCAGTTTCAATCATCTTACCACCCCTATTAATGCTTGGGTCAATAATTTGATCCAGTTTCCCATCACGGTAACATCTCTTGGCCCACTGAGCCAAGTTGATTTGCCCCAGCTCCACTGTATCTGTATGCATCACGGCTGGCCTAGCACACAACACCTCACACAACACTACCCCAAATGAATATACATCCGACTTCTCAGTCAGGTGTTGTAGTCGGTAATATTCCGGGTCCAGATACCCGAAACTTCCTTTTACCACTGTGCTGATGTGCGTCTTGGACGTGTCGGCGGTGCCCAATTTTGACAACCCAAAATCCGAAACCTTGGCCACCCATTTCTCGTCCAACAAGATGTTGGTGCTCTTCACGTCACGGTGGATGATGGTGCCCTAGGGGAAGAAGGGGAAGAGAGAGAGAGAGAGAGAGAAAGTTGCAGAGGTAGAGATGAGAGCGTGTGTGAGAAAGAGGAAGTGTGTGTGCGCGTTAATATTACTATATTGCCCTCCTGCTTTGTCCCACGTGATGTTGATGTGTGAATTTTGATCGAACTTTAAATGAAATCATTTGACATCTAACGATAGGGTGAAATTAGAGATTTCATGTAGTTCGAGTGCTAAATTATTGGGTGTGTTTTAATCCTAGGTGGCTCAATATTTTAAATTTGAGCTTGATCTAGTACTTGAAAAGTCAATAAGCTATTAATACTTTCAAGGGCTAAGCTCTGAGTGACCCTTTAATTAATCACAAACCATTACATCAAAAAATTAATCTAGTTGGGCATGGAATGCATAATTACAAATTAAGGATGAATGAAATGCAATACGATTTAAAGAGCCATTGCAATATTAATTTTACATGCAATTATGGGCTCATGCCTCACGCGTACAAATTGTCAAAAATATAGTTGCTCATCATCACCTCCCACTGGGATCCCTGATCTCAGAGAAGATGGTGGCGGATATGCATTTAATGGATTCATCGGTCACACAACTTTGCTCACTACTACTAGCGTTGCTTTCAACGCAGTTGCGATGAAGCTGCAATGCAAACTCAAGCCCCCTCACAACATCATTCATCGATGGTCGTTCGATGCCATTATCATGCGTGCAACTCATTGAGATCTCAACAAACTTATTCAAGCCCTCAGTTTCAATCATCTTACCACCCCTATTAATGCTTGGGTCAATAATTTGATCCAGTTTCCCATCACGGTAACATCTCTTGGCCCACTGAGCCAAGTTGATTTGCCCCAGCTCCACTGTATCTGTATGCATCACGGCTGGCCTAGCACACAACACCTCACACAACACTACCCCAAATGAATATACATCCGACTTCTCAGTCAGGTGTTGTAGTCGGTAATATTCCGGGTCCAGATACCCGAAACTTCCTTTTACCACTGTGCTGATGTGCGTCTTGGACGTGTCGGCGGTGCCCAATTTTGACAACCCAAAATCCGAAACCTTGGCCACCCATTTCTCGTCCAACAAGATGTTGGTGCTCTTCACGTCGCGGTGGATGATGTTGCCCTTGGCCCCATTGTGGAGGGACTGCAGCCCTCGCGCAGCACCTATACAAATATTAAGCCGTTGTTCCCAAGAAAGAAGAGGAGGCGGGGGCAGGTTATCTTTGCGGTGGTAGAGATGGTCAGCTAGAGTCCCCCGTGCCATGTAATCATACACCAAAATCATTTCACCTTTATCACTTGAATATCCGATGAGAGAAACCAAATGGCGATGGCGAAGCTGCGAGAGCATCTCGATCTCCGTCTTGAACTCGTGTGCCCCCTGTGATGACTCGGGTTTCAGCCGTTTGATTGCAACCGGGGTGGCCCCACCATCAATGCATCCTTTGTACACGTTCCCAAACCCTCCAACTCCAATAATGAAACAACTGTTAAAGTTTTGGGTAGCGGCTTTGATCTCTGCCAGTGAAAAGTAACGACACGAATAAGGCGGTAAAGAATTGGCACTCGAGGACTTGGCTTTCCTCCAATTTCGCCTGAAAATCAAGAAAGCTCCTACGAGGGCAGAAATCAGGACAACTATGCCGGAAACTGCACCAGCAACAATGACATGCATATGCGTCAGCTTTGGTCGAAGTACTTGGTGACGTGGATCTGGGTTGGGTCCGGGTCCGGCGAGATTTCCTCTTGAGTTATTCAGTTTGAAGATTTCAAGCCCATTCAATATTGCGCTGTTGGATGGGCCATACATAGCGATAGAAAGATTTGTCTTCTTCTGGCTGCTTCTAGAGCTATCCATGGACACAACGTAGTCTCTGTACAATGGAATTCCAGCTCCACCACTCCATGCCAATATGTTGGCCTGTTCTTCAGCTTTGTGACCGGCTATGTAAATTTCAAACGATCCAAAATGGTCGACCGGTGGAAACCCACAAAAATGCATCCTAACTAGGTAAGAGAACTCGGAGTCTACAGGGAATTCCCAGCTGATATTGTAGTTCAAGGTTGAGTCCGCGCTCATTATTGACCGGCCAGTTTGGTAAACTTGTATTGGCGCTGTGTATCTTGCTATTCTGTAAAAGTGGAGTCCAATAATGGCATGTTCTATCCTGCTGAAAAGTAAACTTGAAGCTTCCAAATAATTTTGCTCCTCTGCCAAGCCATCCCAATTGCGGAACATGCCAGTGTCCTGAGTGGAGGAGAGTGTGCTTCCACCGATGTTCATTCGATAGACCGTCTCTAGAGCAGTGCTGTTTCCGATGCGAAACTCCTTTCCTCCGTCATTGTCTACAGAAGTAATTACCCCATTGGGTGCAGTGTAGTTGAGATTGGTAGGCATGGATACGATCTCAATTCCGTTGATAAAAGCGTACGCATCTAGGCTTGATTGGCTTGGAGTAAATGTTATGTTCAGGGGGTTTTTTCCATCAACATTCAAACAGAACTCTCTGCGCAGCGTCTCAACTCCATAAGCATCTGCAGTTACTGAAGCATTGAAGTCGTGGAGAAAGGTATAGCCACCGGCTGCGACAGAGAAAAGCGCTTTAGAGCGGTCCAAGTCAGGGCCATATGAAACTGGGTTGAAGTACAAGCGGATGAACTTTTGGCCGTCCGTAGCAAGGGAAAACCTGTAAGTAAATGCAGAACGAGAAAGCCGCGCCCAGGTGTAAGGCATTTTGGTGACGGAGGAGGACGGTGGAGCTTCTCTGACGACGGATGCTTGACCAGACTGGTGTTCTTCTAAGGGGGAATATTTTGAATACACATCTCCAATCCAATATCGCTGCTCAAGTGAATTCAATTGGGGGCCGGTATAGCCGCATGCAACGGTGATCAAATCGGGCGGAGCGTAGACAGATGACCCGTCGTCATCTTGGGCCACCACTAGGGTGACGATCATGTGTAGAAACAGGGATAATAGGTAAAGAGGTTTTAAGGTTGGATAAAGGTGTTTGCTGCTTGTGACGTTCTTCATGATAATTGAATAAATGTTGATGGAGGATGATGAAATTGGAAAGCTGTTTGATTGCTCGGGTTCTTGCTCTGTTTCTCACTTGATCATTTTCTCAATCAACCCTCTGAATCATTCAAAGTTATATGTCTAATTAATAGTTATGTGATGTCCCACAGCTTGTCCTGATTAAATTTTTGCGTCCTTAATTCGTGGCTGACAATTGGGTTCTTTTTCAAAAAGAAAAATGACACCCTTGGAAAAGGTCTCCTTCCCGGAACTTGTCTCTCTTTGATTTTATCCTGTTAGTATAATTGGGGTGAGAAATTAATTATTTGCATAAGTTATGTACCTGATAAGTTATATATTACATAAGAAGTTTATTCTTTTCTGTTAATTTAGTCAGCATTCTATGTAATACTACTTGCTTAATTTCCCAGTACTTTCTCATGTTATTAAATAGAAAATTGCACGTTGAATTTTTAGCATTTTGTGTAAGTACTCGGTCAATATCCCCTCTTTTCTTATAGGGTAGACGGAGTGGACTTGAGGATTTTTTTTTGGGCCAAGTCAAGACTTGAGGAATTAATTAGTCCTGCAAGCAATTGGCAAAAGTCCTTAGTCAATACTTAATGTTATTAGTGGCAAATTTCATGTCGATAACGACATTTTAAACAATCATCGATCAGCTTCAGTGGAGTCATTGACGGGGTCTAAGACGACTATGCAGAATTTGTACAGAGATTAACTAGAGATAGTGAAAGAAAAATAAAGGCGAATATAACCGACCCCTCCCAACAATCTGCTAGTGTCCATACAATCATGGTCATTCCATCCCAATCTCTGCTAATCTTTTTACTTCTTTAATGCCTTTTGTTTTGTTTGCTATTAAGTATTACTTTCTCTCGTTAGGTTTGCTATGAAGTATTCAACTTATCTATTTTAGAGGTACATAGCAACTTACCTACAGCTACAGTGAAGGTATCTAAGGAAAGCTTTATTTTTCTTGTTGGTTGTTTGTAGGTAAAATTTGATTGTGTTTTTTCTTCCCGTTTATTGGTATTGGTTGATGTGCATGTACCTTAGGCATAGATGAGGTTTATTTTTTAAGATGTTAACTTGCTGTTATAGTGAAAAAGATTATGAACCAAACTATAAGTCTATAGGACAGGTAGAATGTCAATAAAAAGTCAGCCAATTTTTAGTCCCCGAATTAATTGAAATCGCCAATTTAACCGTTGCCGTTAATTTTTTAGAATTTCATCCATTTTTCGGTCCACAAAGTCATATGGATGACATGTGACTTACTATTTGATTTATTATTATTATTATTATTATAAAAAACTAAATGAGTTAGAAAATTTAAAAAAAAAATGAACAAAAAAACATGACTTTCTCTCTCCCCTCTGTCGCGGAGGAGGATTTCGATCTCGCGGCAGATCTGGTTCCTATACTTGCATCAACAAGTTCTCAGTAAGTTACTTGTTGAGTTATGAGTATCAAATGCATATAAGGGTTTAGAACCTCATATCCATTTCGTTGTAATCGTCATCTGCCATTGTTGATTGGTGAAGAAGCTTTTCCTATGTGTGCCGCCATTGTTACTCTATTTTTCTTTTTGTTTGATTTATTTATTATGTACTATACATGAAATTACAAATTTACTCTTATAGTTAATAAAAAAATTTGGATGAAATTCACAAAACTTAATGGGAAAGGCTAAATTGGTTATTTTAATTAATTCAGGTGTTAAATTGGCTGACTTTTTAATTCGGGGAGTTAAGTTCGATTGGGGTCCTAGTTCAGGGGGGTGTACGACAATTTACTCCTCTTTAAATTACTCTTTCGAAGTTAAAAGTGAAACAAAATAGTTTGACAGAAACATTGCCTGTAGAAGTAAAATGGCGACTACCTTCACCACATGTATCCTTCCCCAACACCTTACCTATATATCAGGTATACATCGCACCCTGTACCTACTGTACCAAGGTACATATACCCAAATTACAAGTACTACCACGCAAATACCAAACAATCTACAGTCCAGGTACTACCACGCAACCTGCAAAACATAATCACAAACTATTCTCAAGAACATTGGACATATTAGCATAAGGAACCAGTAAGCAAAAAGTATCAAAAACCTAAATAATAGAAAATACCTGAAAGGCATGTGCTGCAACCTGACGACAAATTGTGAAATTATGTCAAACGCTTTATTGCTTCTGACACTACTACATTTTTGTACTTGCGCGACGGTATTTTGCGCGACGAATAAATAATCGTCGCGCAAAACAAGTATGCACCATGGAAAGATGAAACCGTACTGCAAAACAGCGCGACGAAAATAATCGTCGCGCAAAACAAGTATGCGCCACGGAAAGATGAAACCGTACCGCAAAGCAACTCTGCGCGACAAACAATAGTATTGTCGCATATAGTGACAAAAATTGGGTCCAAATCGTGGATTTGGCGATACACTTTGCGCGACGACAGTTTTCGTCGCGCTAAGTTATAATGCGCGACAGCAAATCCTAACCGTCGCGTAAAGAACAAGCGGGAAAAAAAAAACTCGCGGTAATCGCATTTGGCGCCAAATGATTGCACAACGAACGATTGCGCGAGGATATATTCGTCACGCAAATTCATGGTATTCTTGCGCGACGGATATATGCGCGACGAATAACGTATACCACGTCGCGCAAAAAAAGATGTCGGCACAACTATGCGCGCAGGAAAAAAAAATTATGCGGGACGACAAATACGTTTGCGCGTCGAAAAATATGCGACGAATATATTTGTTTGTCGCGCAAGGACTTAAAATCTTTGCGCGACGAAATACTTAATTCGTCGCGCAAAATCGTCGTTTATTACTTATTCAGTTTCAGCCATGGTAGAGGCAAACTGCAAAAAAAAATTGCAGTTGCCTCAGCCTCTCTCTCCCTCTGTCTCGAAACGTCATAGGCGAAGCAAATGCATCAATTTCATTTCGTTTATGAGTTAAACTATCTCTGCCTCCGGTACGTTCATTGATTATGTATTTTTTGTCGTTAGTGAAAAAATATTACTGTAAATTCATACTAACGCCATTAATTTAGTTGTATATAGGGATATTATATGTGATTAGCGATTTGTGGAGAACGATTAAGAAGGTATTATATAAAATTAATTACATTATGTTTATATTGTGTTGTCAAATTATATTTATATTATGTTGTTCAGTTATGCACGTTGATGTACGAAGTTAATTGAAATTAACTTCATATATTTTTTTTTTGTAAAGCTTAGTTCCCGTTCGAGGTTAGTTGAACCGCGCACGGGTGGGTAAATCACGACTACGGTCCAATTAATTCTTGAATTGTCCCATATTTTGGACAGTTTGGAAATGCATCGTCGTGTCACGTAGTTTACAGCTATAGTTGCACGAGATCCCAGCTTTTCCCAACGTCTCCCATGCACCGGTGTCATCAGAGTCCTCAGTTGCGCAGCCTGTTAGTGCCAAGAGGCGTCATCGCCCTCCCCACTTGATCGCCAGTTGAATACGGTGACACTCGTATCAACATCAGATACGACGAGCGTCATCGAGCTGCCCCAACGGCGGACCAACATAGCTCATCGGCGCACGATGTTGGTTCAGTCGTTCGGAAAAATAGAACTCCAACCATGCTTTATATTCACCTTCTAAAATAGAGAGACCTCTTGGAACTGCTAAATATGAGGAGAGAGAAAGAACTCCTGTGCTTGACCAGACTGGTGTTCTTCTAAGGGGGAATGTTTTGAATACACATCTCCAATACAATATCGCTGCTCAAGCGAATTCAATTGGGGCCGGTATAGCCGCATGCAACGGTGATCAAATCCGGCGGAGCGTAGACAGATGACCAATCGTCATCTTGGGCAACCACTAGGGTGAGGATCATTTGTTGAAACAGAGATAATAGGTAAAGAGGTTTTAAGGTTGCATAAAGGTGTTTGCTGCTTGTGACGTTCTTCATGATAATTGAATAAATGTTGATGGAGGATGATGAAATTGGAAAGCTGTTTGATTGCTCGGGTTCTTGCTCTGTTTCTCACTTGATCATTTTCTCAATCAACCCTCTGAATCATTTGTTGACACCATAACTGACCAAGCAACTAGAAGAAATTCTAGGCAAGGCAAGAGGAGTCCCACATCGGAAATCTACAAGAAGTGAAGACTCCCTCTCACCTATAAAAGCATACCACTCTCCACCTAAGAGAGGATGGAAAAACTGAGATGGGCTTCCTCTTCAGGACTCTCCTGTTAGTCTGGCCTTCGAGTCCTGGGTCTCCAGACCCGGGGACTTGACCCCTGGGCTCCAGACTCCTAACTTTATACCTTAGGCCCTAGGCCTTCTTCCATTTATCTTTGGGTCTAATCCCCTTGTACAAATGTAAACAATATCATAATGAGAACATCTTCTCTGTGGACGTAGCCCATTCATTAAGGGTGAACCACATATATCTTGTCTTTGTATATTTATAAATTGGCCAAACCCTCACATACTTGCTGAAGGTCCAAACCTTCACCCATCAACCATCACACCTCATCACTAAGTTGGACTCAATCTAAGCCGAACCATTTTGGGCATCAACAGTTTGGCGCCGTCTGTGGGAATCGACACAAAAGGCTTCTGTCATTCTCCCTTCCTTCAGTGCCCTTCGGCACCCCTCCAATCATCATCCTTAACCATTCAACATTATCTGTGCCGAAGTAATCAGGAGTCAAACTCAGACATCACATCAACATGCCGAAGTTTTAGGGCCCAGCTCCAGCCTGTTGACTCTCGAAGCCCAGCTCCACAAACCTGGCAAAGGTCAAGCCAAGACCCACCCAGAAGGCTTATGCCACAAGGCACGACACTTAACTAGCCTAGGCCCAACCTTGGCTCCCCTGTCGAAACTAAGCCCAGACCCCCTTTGGCTCTATT